CCTCAGGACTTCCCCTCGTGGCTTCCACCAACATGGCCTTGAAGGATCCATCAGTGCTGATGGCCATGGCGGCACGTGGTGGCTCCCAAAAGTGGTCTGTGGAAAGTGCACGGGCCTTGGAGCCAGAGAGCCCTGGGGCTGTTCCTGCAGCTCTGCCGCGCTCCGGGACCCTGGGCAGTCGACTCTGCTTCTCTGAGCCTGTTTCCTCAGTAGAACGTGAATACCACGCAAACCCACAGGGAGCCGAGGGCAAGGGAATACTATAGAAGGGCCCAGCATGGTTCCAGTGTCAAGCAGGTCTTCAGTGCCTATTTCTTCCCTTTCCCAAGGCTCCTCACTCCGGGGCCAGCTGGGCACATGTCCATCGAAGCCCCTGCCCGTGGAGCACCTCCTCTGTGCTGAGCATGGTGTAGCCTAAACCCCTTGCTCTGTCCGAGAGGGTGGGGAGGGGCCGCCCCAGCCTCACAGCAGAAGAGGTTGCACAAGGGCTCATAAAAGCAGACCAGGGATGGGGAGGACTTCGGTTTCCATGTCCCCCCAAGACATTTTTCTGCCTCTACCTTTGCTCAGGCTGTTCCTTCATCTCAAATGCCCTTCCCTGCCTGGCGAAATCTTCTCACCTCTCAAGGTGCAGCCAAGTCGCCACATCCTTGGTTAAGTGGTTGGGTTTGTGGGCTCTACTTAGACTCAGCCAACCTTAGTCCAACCCAGCTTCTCTACCTTCCAGGAGGTATACCTGGCATCTCTGTGGACAAATTATTTACAGTCTCTAAACTTTAGTTCCTTCATATGAAAAATGAGATCAACAACGTTTACCTCTTAGATTTGGGAGGCTCTGATGACGGAACGCAGGTGTGACCCCGGAACAGAGTGGGTGCTCAACCAACAGCTCCCACGCCTGCCCTTGGCACCCCCGAGCACCTGGCCCCTGGCACGTCCTGCCCTGTAGGTCCTCGGGGGGTGTTCTGACGCTTCAGCTAGCCCGGACGCTCTGAGAACAGTGCATGTGTATCTCCCACAAAGTGGACTTTATTCCAAAGTGAGGGGCAGAGGAGGCCAAGAGTCGGCAACAGAGACTGACACTGCTCCCTGATGGGTAACAAGGTGCCAGGCCAATGGCTCATTAGACGATGAGACGACTGGACTGAGACGATGCAGGGGGCTGAGTATGAGACAGGAGTGCACATGACTTCTAGGGGAATCTTGAGCCAGCTCTGTTCCCTCTCTGGTCTCACTTTCTTCACCATTCTACTGATGGCTAAGCTGAGGCCCAGAGAAGTGGGCACCCTTGCCCAGCCACACCACAGAGCTCAAGTGGCTGGAGAAGGTTGGGAACAGGCATACAGAATAGCTTCTCCTCCATGCACTTACCCCTGTCCAGGGGAGCGTGGACACCATCCTCGACTAAGAAGACCAGGAATGTTCAAGGAAAGGGGCTGTTCCACTTGTCTCAATATCCCTAGTCCTAGGTCCGGGCATGGAACATGGGCTCAGTAAAGGCCTGCTGAATACAGGAAAGGACCCCGTTTTCCAAGATTTGCAGCTCTCAGTAGAAGGTGCCATCTGTTTGGTGCCTGATCCCCTCCCTCATCCCACAGGAAAATCTCTTAGGCTTGAAGTAGCCTTTGACTTCACTTCCAAAGTTCCCCTCTCCTTCTCTGGCTAATTGCAGTGCCTAATAGAGCTAGGCTGCAGAGTCACACTTGGCCAGCAGGGGTCGCTAGCACACACTGCAGCCTGCAGGGTCTACCTGGTTAATTAATGTCTATGTCATCAATTCTGTAAGCTCAAGAGTCTGCAAATCAGATTTCCTGGGAATGAGGGAGACCCACATTTCTGTGACCCAGCCTCTTCATGTCTTGCTGCTGACTGCTGCCTAATACAATATATGTTCAGACACGAGGAGGGAATGGTGGCAGGGGACAGGCCACTGCACCAATCCCAGTGGCTCTGTGAAGTTAGGAAGTACTCAGGGACCCTCTGGGGATCACAGAGATTTTCTGAATTCTGGAACTTTGTGAGATGCTTTCCCTGTGAGCAGACGTTACCACTGCAGAGAGGGTGAGAGGCCAAGGCAGGTTCAGGGGGACCCCCAGATCCCCTGACTCTTTTAAGCAGAAGAGTCAACCAGTCAGGAACGAGCAGACACCATGCATGGATAATCTTACTGTACCATGCGCTGGCAGGACAAAACACGCTCTGTGGTCTTGAGCCACTGTTTGCAAATCTCAGACATAAATTTAGAGATTTTGTCTAAGTTGTGAACAATACCAAACTTTTAGCACTTAGGCACTATTCATTCAGGATAATAATAACCAGTGAGAATACACAGCCTCACTCATACCCAGAGCTCACAGCATCTTCATAATCACCCTGAGTTTGAAACAGGAGCTACCACCCTTATTTTAGAGATGAGAAAACCAAGGCTGGCGAGGGCAGATCCTGGAGCCCAAACCAGGGCCGCATGCTGTAAATCTTCCTCTCCACCCCACCTGCCCGCCGCAGACATGCAGTGTGCCGACCAGGACAGGTGCCCGGGCTCTGCGGCAGAGGCTGCTGCCATCGTGGGGTGGCTCATGCCTCCTTCGGGGCCTCCCAGCAGGAGAAACAGCAGGGCATAACGATTAAGAGACCGAGCTTTGAGGTCCGACAGAGTTGACTTCTCTTTCTGGTCCTGCTGTTTACTAGCTGTGCAACTGGGCAAGTGGCTTGACTTCTCTGGGCCTCAATTTGCCCTATCTGTCAAGTGGGGGAAGTAACAAACAAATCAAGCGGGGGAAGTGCCTGCTCTGGGGTGGCTGTGCGGATTAAAGCAAGAACTTCCGTAAAGCATCCAGCACACGGGAGACATTCGGTGCACGGGGAACACAGGAAGGGAAGTGTGCGCTCTTGACACACCCCTGTGTGTTTCTAATTTGTAATCCCAAGTTGAGACTGCAACCTCCACATCTGGAACCAAGAGGGTTTTGCAGGAATATCACGGAGATCATAAAAAACATGAAGAAAAACCCAGTGAAAACCATTCTGCTGGGAACAGCCATGTATAGTCGGTTCATTCCTTTAATTTTTAAAAATGAGTAAGCAGACAATCGTGTGCCCTTTGAATACCCAATAAAAAACGTTCATTATGCAAAACAGTACAACCTTTTTCATTTTTTAATAACACTGTAAATATCTCAGAAAGGATGTATTGTTTCTAATGAATATCAAAAAAGTCACCACATGGATGTTTCCCCTGCCCCCACATTTCCCTCCCCTCCCGCCAAAGTTACCCAAATACTAGTAGGAAATTACAAAAACCAGAAAGCCCTCCCTCCGCCCGGCCCCAGTAGTGTTACGTGAGACCGCGGGGCTGCGCGTCTGAGAGCTGTTGGTGGAGAACCGGCAGCAGCAGCAGTGGGGAGACCCCCTCCCCAGACCTGGTGGGAGAAGAGCAGACAGGACAGACACAAGCAGGGGCAGTCTTCCTGGGTCCGCTTCCTGGGTCCACCGGATCAGACAGCTCAGGGAGAGGCCTGGGCCGTGCGTGCAAAAGGGTGTCCAGAACCAGGCATCCTGACCTGCCCGGGGGCACCAGGGATCTCTCCTAGCAAACTCGGGCTTCAGAGGGGGCTGGCCAGTGCAGAGAAGCTGGGAGTTTGGAAACTTCTGGATGAATCAAACATGTGTGTTCATTACAGGAAACTAAAACTTCAGTTTGGAGAAAGTTTGCATTTCCACCAAATAAAATTGGGAACATAAAGGAAGAGGATAAAGAATGCACCTTCCCTGTCCCCAAATAACCGAGAATCCAAGGCAGAGGCTTGACATGGGGTCTAATGAGGAGAGAGAGGGAGCAGTAGAGAGGTCTGCAGCAGGGCCAGCCTCCCCCCGGGCCCCAGGCCTGCACCGAGGGAACCGGGTCTCTCCTCCAGGAAGACCTGAGGCTCCTCAGCCCCCTGGGAGAGAGAGGTGGGGGTGGGGGGTGGGATGGCTCCTGAGAAAAGGGTAGGGAAGAAGCCTCCAAAGGTTCTGCTGGTGCCAGGAGGATGGGGAGGGAATTGAGAGGTGACAGGATGGCAGGAGAGGGAGGGAGGCAGGGACAGCAAGAGTGAGAAGAGCCGGTGGGGGATGAAGAAGGGGCTGGAGGAAACCAGGCCCCAGGCCCCACGGGCTCCTTCCCCCGGAGCTGGCGGAAGGTCCCACAGTGCAGATCCCGGCGGGGCAGCGGCAGGACCAACAGCCGCAAGCAGAATCGAGGCCGCTTCCTGACCCGGAAAAGCAGCGCCCGGGCGACTCCAGCCAGCCCCGCCGAGGCTGCGGAGCAGAGCTGCGGCTGCGAGCAGGCGGGACAGGAGCCCATCATGCGGCCAGGACCGGGCTGGTCTCCAGAGAACAAGCCGCTCACAGATGAAATCAAACTCGAGTTTTGGGGAAAACACACATCACCGCCACCATTTCCAGGATAAACTTGACTGAAAAAGGGCAGGTGGGGGTGGGAGCAGGGACGGCTGCCTGCGAGCCTTCGGAAGAAGGCAAGATCTACGGCAGGTCTGCAAGCCAGCGAGGCCGCCAAGAGAATCCCCAGGAGAGCGCCAGGCCGGGAGGGACCTCAGAGATCACCTGATCCCGCCCTCCCCATCTGGGAGGGGGGGAACTGAGGCCCAGGGAGGGGAAGGGAGTGCCCAAGGTCACTTAGTGGATCAGGGCAGAGGGGGGCCGCAAGCCAGGAGTCCGGGGTCTGGCAGGACCTCTGTGGCACAGCCTTGCTCTGGGCAAACCTGCCCTGAGAGGTTGGGGAGGGAGGGGGCTGCGATGGTCAGGGAAAAACAGGGGACATGGACTGGGCGGTTAAAAGGCTGACGCCGGAGGGCAGGCAACGCTCCCACCCCATCCGCCCCACAGCCAGAATATAAAAGTTTGACCATATAATACATTTCTTCCTAACCCCTAGAAAACACTGGTTAAAGCCATCCTAGCACGAGAAGATTCTGCTAGGCCCTGTACAGTAGTATCTCTTCGTAATGTTACTTACATGATAACTGGGGGCGAGGAGGGAATACGACTTTAAACCCGAGTGTACACGGCCACCTTAAAATTAACTTGTTAATAAATCCTGTGCAAAACGAGCAAGCCTCTACCACTAGGTGAAGTACGCGGTTCAGGTATTCACTTATACACATGGGGGAGGAGCAGGAGGGAGAGGCATCCGAGGCGGCAGGTGGACGCTCAGAAGTATGTCTCCTTCTCTGTGATGGCGGCAATGGTCCCATCGCCCTTGAGTTTGGCTTCACAGTCATTAACCGTCACCGTCCGTGGGCCTGCTCCAAGCTTGCCCCGCATTTTCAGATCAGCGCTGGGGGTTGTCAACTTCCGGAATTTCTAGATAGTTGGAGAAGAGGAGAAGAACTGTCTGAGAGCAGCTTCCAGGGTCCTGGGGCCTGCCTCGGCCTCTTCCAACCACACCACCATCAGAGCGAGGGCCGGGCCCCCAGCTCTGCCACTGAGAGCTCTGTCCTGGGTGACAACTGACCTCTGTGGGTCTCAGTTTCCTCCTCTGGGAAATGGGGATAACGGAGGTAGCCACCCCTGGCGTTTGCTGAGTGAGGAGGTGGTGCGCGGAAGTGCTCAGCCTTGTATGTGGCCAACCGCAGGTGACCAGGACGGAGCGCCGATGCCTCGCCCCATCCCTCCGGTGGAGACTGAGTCGCTGCTCGGCCATCACTAGCTGTGTTGGGCAAGTCACCTCACCTCTGTGAAGTGGGATCACAGTACCTGCCTGAAGGGCTGATGTGAGGGTGAGCTGAGGCACCTCTAGGGCTGTTCATACAATGATTGCTGGATAAATGGGTACATTTCCCAAAAAACGGATGTCATCACGCTGCCACCATCCAGAGGAACATGTGGTGGGTACCATGCTCGAAGATGGAAACCTTATCACTAACACCAACACTCACAGCCACAGCCTCACACCGCCTTGCACAGGGCTGGCCCTGGGCTACGCAGACGGGATGGCTATCGTCCCTGCACCGACGAGGGAGCGGAGGCCACGGGCAGACTTCTGACCGGCTCCTGCTGCCACAGCCCTGCCCCGGGGCCCCACACCTCAGCTTCACGTGCACCCCCAGGCTCCCGGGAGAGGATGCCGGGCCAGGATGTGGGAGATCCCTTCTGGGCATAAACCCTTTCCCCAGGAAGCCTGGGAAGACTTTGGGGTGGCTGGTTTCTCATGGTCAAGGTTCTGTCTTTTCGTTCAGATCCTGCCACACTTAAGGGGCTGAGCCGACACTGCCCAGGTGGGAACAACAGGGGGTTCTGCAGACCCCCGTGCAGAACACCTGCTGTGTGCCGGGCACAGGCTCCGGGGCCGGGCGCCTGGGTTTGATCCCAGCTCTGCCACTCAACTGCGGCAAGAAACTTTCTTCTCTGCCTCCTCGTTGTCACAGGGGTAACAACGGTGCCTGCCTTCCAGGATTATCATGAGGTTCAGGTTAGTCGACCTGGCCACAGATTAGCACAGATTATCCATCCTCACAGCAATTCTCCGAGCTAAGCACCAGGGACCCCAATTTTCCTTCCGGATTCTTCCTGTCAGCTGGCAGAACATTCTGGAAATGGAGAGAGGTGAACTAACTGGCACAAGTTCCCTCAGTAAGGAAGGCCTGGAGACCAGGTTTGACGACCTCCAAAGAATTCGCTCTGTGTGCCAGCAGGCGTGTGAGTGTAGGGAGATGGAGGGGGTTCAGGAGAGCAGCCTCTCCTCCCTCCCATGCCAGGCCTGAGATAACCTCTGGAGGATTCTTGAGGAGACGCTGGGTCATTTCTGAACGCCAAATGCCACTGGAAATTCGGGCAGGGGCCTGCAGGGGCCAATGATACGGTTTGGTTCCAGATCGGAATTAACCAACCGCCTTTGAGCTACATTCCCTGCAGGAGCCAAGGAGCCTGACTTTCTCTGGGGGCACGAGCAGGCCTGGGAAAGGGACCTCCCTCTGGCGGCTCCTTCCGACAGCACGTGTGGCTTTTTCTGGAGCGCAGGCCCCTCGGTGGGCCGGGTGAAGCTGTCAGCTGGCACTCGCATCCGCACCGCTCCCATCCCCTCTGGCCTTGTCCTGGGAGGCAAAGGTCAAACCCCTGAGATCCCTGGGCTGTGGCGCTGGGGCAGAGACAGGGCCCCGAGACGAGTGCGGCCAGTCCAGCAGAGGACAGAGGCAGAGAAACTCAGGGGATGAGAGCAGAGTCCCGAGTTTCTGCTCCACCACCCAGAGGCTGTGTGCCCTGGGGCAAGTTGCTTCACCTCTCTGTGCTTCAGCCTCCTCATCTGTGAAATGGGGACAATAAGAGCCTCTACCTCAAAGGACTGTTACGAAGACGAAATGGCTTCGTATTTGTAAATGGCTGAGAACAGTGTCTGGCACACAGCAAACGTCTTGCTAAGTGAGTGAGAAGCTGACTCAAACTGTGTGGTGTGCCGACCGGTGGGAAGGGGAGTGAACAGAGCGGGTGCTCTGGAGGAGGGCAGCCGGGCTCTAATTCAGTCTGCTACACAGACACAAACCATATGATTTCACTGATGGGAAACGTCCAGAACACACAAGTCCAGAGACAGAGAGGAGAGTCGTGGCTGTCTGGGGGCGGGAAGAGGGTCAACTGGGAGTGGGCAGGGATCTTATGAGGGTGATGAAAATGTTCTGAAACTCACTTATGGTGATGATGGCACTACACAGGAAGTCACTAAGAATCACTGAATTGTATACTGAAATGGGTGAATTTTATATTTAAACATACCTCAATAAAATTGTTTCAAGAAATTTGGTTTCCACTATGGAAAACAGTATGGCATTTCCTCAAAAAATTAAAAATAGAACTACCATATGATCCAGTAATTCCACTTCTGGGTATTTATTTGAAAGAAAGGAAAACAGTCACTCGAAAGATATATGCACCCCCATGTTCATAGCAGCATTATTTACAGTAGCCAAGCCATGGAAGCAACCTAAGCGTCCATTGATGGATGAATGGATAAAGAATACACACACACACACACACACACACACACACACACACACACACACACACACAATGGAATATTATTCAGCCATAAAAAAGGAAATCTTGCCATTTGTGACAACATAGGTGGACCTTGAGGGCATTTTGCTAAGCAAGATAAGTCAGACAGAGAAATACAAATACCACATAATCTCACTTATGTGTGGAATATAAAAAAAACAAAAACAAGCTCAGAGATAAAGAGAACAGACTGGTGGTTGCCAGAGGCAATGGGTAGAAAGTGGGTGAAATGGGTGAAGGGAGTCAAAAGGTACAAACTTCCAGTTATAAAGTAAATAAGGCATGGGGATGTAATGTACAGCATGGTGACTATAGTTAATAATACTGTATTGCATAATGGAAAGTTGCTAAGAGAGCAGGTCTTAGTTCTCATCACAAGAAAAAAAATTATAACTATGTGTGGTGATGGATGTTCACTAGACTTATTGTGCTCATTTCACAAAATATACACACATCGCATCACTATATTGTACCCCTGAAACTAATATAATGTTATATGTCAATTATATCTCAATAAAGAAAATCCTGTTTGCTAATTTTTGCCTGTGATGCTCATTTTTGATTGAGTGATGATTTCTCTGAGCTTCAATTTCTCCATTATATGCAGAAAATGATGCCAGCACCCCGGTTTGCTCTGAGGACTCAAGGAGATACAGCACATAGAGAGCCTGGCACGGTGATGACATGGGACAGGTGTCCCCAAATGTCAGACCCTCCCCTCTGCCCTGGGAACGGGGTCCTCAATGAATTAACAGGACAGTAAGAGGTAACAGGTGCTCACTCTCGGTCCCAGGTTCCAGGCTAAGTGTTTTCCCAATATGAACCACTGAGTCCTCAGGAAAACCTCTGTAAGGAAGCCCGGGACTGCGGTTGGCCCCATATTATAGATGAGGAAACCGAGGCTGAGCTCAGTGAAACTGGCTTGACCCGAGGCCTCACAGAAATGTCTCCACACGATGGTAATGATGAACACCTGTCATGGAGGAGCTGTCCCTGGCTTCCCTGAGCGACACATGGGGGCACGTTCTCATCACATCATTGCCCAGAGGAGGGAGCCGAGCCTCACAGCCTCGCCATGCTCACCAGCCCTCCCGGGCAGGGCCAGGCCGGCACTCCCCTGGCCGTCTCACCTGGGGCAGCGTCCCCTCTGTCTTCCACACCTTGAGGAAGGTCCAGAGCGGGATGCAGAGCATGGAGGACAGGGCCATGAGCCAGCCGATGCTGTAGCCCCAGGCAGGGTAGGTGTAGACGTTGTTGTACTTGAGGGGCTTGTACTTGACCAGGAAGAAGATGAAGATGCCCTGTGGAGAGACGGGCAGAGGTCCCGGGGGCCGGACTCCAGCCCTGCTTAACCAGGAGGGACCCAGGGGTGGGTCTGCGTGCAGGAGGTCGGCAGGGAAGAGGGTCGACCCCACGTGACAGCCTCGGAGAGGCAAGGCCCTGCCCTGGGCGACAGGGGGCTCGAGGCCCGTCCCGCCAGCATCAGAAACGCAGGGAATGGACCCCCACAGATCCCGGGACCTCGCTGGGGCTGTGAGACCCTCATCACCCCCCGGCAGCCTCGGCCCAGCCTCTACCCAGTCAGGAATCAATTTTTATTTTTTCCTAGCTGTTTCCCAGGGCTGGTGTCAAAGCTGCCTTTCACAACTACGATGGTTTGTGAAGACGCTTTGACATACTTGCAGGACCAAGAACTGAGTGAAGAGCAGTGGGGTTGTTCTCGTATTAAACATCTGCTCACAAAGGCCTCCTCGTGGTCTGCTCTGAAGGCAGGCGTGAGCCCGACTTTACCCTCAGTTCTGCTGCTTCCACAGCCAACAACAAAGCCGAACGTGGCCTCCGGCACGATCCTCCCCCCGGGAGGCAGGTCCCAGCTGCCTAATCTGCGGGCACAGACTCTGAGAAGGGAGGTGGCTTGCTCGTGGTCACACAGCAACCCAGTGGCATAGCCGGGCTCCCAGTGAGGCCCTCTCTCGCCAAGCCCGGAGACTGTCCCCACGACTCAAACTGAGAAAGGTGTCAGGTGCCCTGGACTTTCTGAACGCACAGAGCGTCACCCAGGGGGCACCATCTCCTCAGTTTCGGCCTTGGCCGGGCTTGGGCTCTAGAGCGGAAAAGTGGGTGGGTGGGCTGGAGGCGGCTCCTGGCAGGGCGCTTACCGCACAGATCCCGGGGGTGACGACCTTCCAGCACCATTTAATGAGCGACAACGGCCGGTAGCCAATCATGTCTTCGATGTTATCATAGAAGCGGTTGCTTCCTGTCCAGAAGAAAACAGACAGGCACACACACCCAGAGAGTTTCTGTACAAGACTCAGAGGAAAGGCCAGGAGGGTCTGCTTTCCCCGCCCGAGACAGACAAATTGTGGCAGGGATCTTCTTTATCACTTAAAAACTACCCAGATGTTACATGGGTGAGGTTTCAGAACAAACTGCAGCAGGAGGGATTCTGATCCGATACTGGGGACACCCCTCCTGACCCTGGGCGGTGAGGCCCAGGAATGGTGAAGAGATCCTGGGAGAGAGGTGGACGGCAGGGCCACCCACCCTTCGAGAGGCAGGGCCAGGGGTTGGCTGACTTGCCAGGGTGAGGGTCTGGGCTCTGCAGGCGAGGGCCTGGCTGGCTGCTAATGAGCGGGGGGCCTGCAGGGCTGTCTGTTCCCTCTCACGCTCCAAGTGGGAGTGTCCGTGATCATGGGGCCCAGCACCCTCACCCCCTCACTCAGTCTGGGGAGCGGAGGACCAGAAGGCAGGTGCGGATGCAGGGCCGGGCACTGTGCGGCTGCTCTGCCTACTTCCTCTCCTACTTGGAGACACGCTGATAACCACCCCATGTTACAGACGGGGAAACCGAGGCTGTGGCAGAAGGACGGGCCCAAGGTCACAGCGCCTGAGCCCAGAGCCCCTCCCTGTGATGCAGGGCTGCCAGAGCAGGCAGGTCTCGCGACACGTGGGAAAGGCCAAGGAGTCCCTGAGGGGAAGGAGGGAGGACACAGGTGGAGACAGGCCACAGAGAACGGGCGCCCACCCGGCCCCGGGCACCACGGCCTCTGCTCACCGTACACCCAGCCGATGCAGATGCACTCAAAGACGGCCACGAAGAGAAGGCACATCCCGCTGGCGGCGTACGAGTCAAAGAGCTGGAAGACGTACATGCCGCCCTGTGGGCGGGGACAGACACACGGACAGGAGAGCAGGGTCAGCTCCGCCCTGTGGCTACCGCCAGCCAGGAGTCACCGCCACCAGGGCACACTGCTTCTCCCCAGCACCCCAGAACACTGCACCCCCGCACCTGGGCGACCCCCCAGACGCCACCCGCGGCGGGCTGCTGGGATCACCTTGGTCTGTCTCCTCTCTCTCCCCAAATGCCAGAGACAGCACCGACGACCAGAGACTGGAGGTTGGCCAGCCTCAGCTCCTCTCCCGATGGTTCTAACAGCCTCCCACTGGCCTCCCTGCCTCCAGCCTCGCCCTCCCCAATCCTTCCTCACACCAGCTTTCACACGGAGCTTTCTAATGTGCAAATCCAACCAGGTCACTCGCAGTTTAAAATTACACCTTGGCTTCCTCTGGCCTGCCAGTCAGGGCCGCCCTCCTCACTGGGCTTCATCTCCCCTCCTAGCAGCCACCCTCAACAAGCTCCCTCCTGAACAGACCAAGGGACAGCCTCACCTCTGTACCTGGGCACAGGCTGTTCCCTTTCACTTGGCAAGTTCCTTCAAAGCTCAGCTCAAACGTCACCTCCTCCAAGAAGCCCTCCTGGACAGCCTCATTCTTCCTTTGGGCCTCCACAACATGTTTTATGGACTCCCAATTTAAAATAAAGTGTCCCCCTGGCAGCTGCTCTGTTAGCACTGAGCTCCCGCTGGGAAGGCCCGCACGCGGGTCCTCTTCGTGTCTCCAGCCCTCATCGCAGGGCCTGGCTTGCAGTAGGACCTCATTAAGCGCAAACTGAATTGTGTGGAGTGAGAGACCCGTGGGGGAGGAACTCGACTGGCTTGTCCACAGCCGTGTCCCTGTCCTGGCCCAGGACTTGGCACACAGTAGGTGTGCAGTCAATCTTCATGGGATGTGGGAATGACGTGAGCCAGCTCTGTAATACACAAATCTGTGATGATTAAGTTCAGTGGGAGGCCCGGGAGGTGAGCTCAGCTGGCCAAGGTCATCCAGGAAGGTTCCCTAAGAGGGAGGGGGTGTCTGGGTGGGCAGAGGAGGGGAGGCCAGCTGCAGGTGTGGGGAGGGGGCATCTATAACGAAAGTCTATATAACGCAATGAGGGTCCTCAGGGGGCAGAAGCAAAAGCAGGGGCAATAAATGTGCCAAAGGGAGGGAGGGTCAGGTAGGGGAGGCACTCTGAATGCCAGGATGGGGTTGGGAGGCCAGGACAGAGCCTGGACAGCCTCCTGTGTGTCTACATGGGGGCTGATTTGAATTAAGCTGCCTCCCTGCACTCACACAGCCCCCAGGACCTCCCTCTATCATGCGAGCCCACACACCCCGGGACTGTGTTTCCTCATTCATCTCTTCAACTAGATCGGCAACATCTCAGTACCCACAGGGCCAGACAGATAACACAAGTGAGAAAAGTGGGCTGGCTGCGAGACACCAGGGAGTGGTGGGGACTATGGCTAACTGGAGAGTACAGGCCCCATTTGGCCACACAATTCTGGTCAATTGTTGCTGGGGGACATAGGCCCAGGTTGCAGCCAGATCTGCAGATTTTCTGGAAGACACCAGAAATCCAGATTTTCATGAGAAATCTGTTTGTTGACAATCTTTTCATGTTTAAAAAAAATACAGTAAACAAAACCCCAGATATCTGGGCTGTATCTGGTCTGGGGCCTCCCACCTGTGACGGATATGGTAGATATTCGGGTCTGCGAGGGTAAGGAGCAGGTCTGAGGCTCCTCGGTGACTAGCAGCGGGCTTGGCTTTCTCAGCTAAACCACCCTCCTAATTGTTCTCCTGGCTGCCTCCTTCCACGAACATCACGCATTTAAGAAAGAACAAGAGGGCACCCACACGTACTGCTCTCCAATCACCAGGCTCTGTTTTAACTGCTTCCCACGTGTCAATCCAGTCGCTCCTTCACAGTGCGATTTCAAGGCAGGCACTATTTTACCCTGTGTTCATATGGGGAAACTGAGGCACGGAGCGCTAAGAACACGCCGCAGGTCATCCAGCTAGCCGGGCGCGGGGCTGAGGACGGAACCCAGGTGGCCCCGGCTGCAGAGCCCACGCTCTCAGCTACCCAGCACACCGCCCCCGGGAGGGCAGAAGCTCGTGGCCTGTTTTTTCCTGGAGCTGAGCATTAAGTGTCCCTAAATGAGGGACAGGAGCCCGCCACCAACCACGGGGACGGCCGAGGCGGGGACGGCCGAGGCCGGCACGGCCCACTTGGCCCTCTGGACTTCTCCAGCACGACTGCTCACCGATTCTCCTCCACGGAGGAGGGAGCCGGCATGTGGAGCCCCAGCACCGCTGATTAATGGTCTGGGGCAGCCAAGCGCAGCCCCTGACGGGCCCGCGGCCACGAGGCGCTCTTGGGCACAGCCGAGGCCCCAGGCGGAGGGCGGACACGAAGACTGCGAGCTGGGGGCGCCCAGGGCCGAGGTCCAGGAGGGCCCACCACCCGTCGGCTCTGAGCCAGGGACGCCCACCCAGCGCCCGCTCTTCTTGTAGCCCTGCCCCTGTCAGCCTCTTAAACGCGTCAGGTTAACCCCCCAATTTGTACGTGACAGAAAACTCTACGTTGCGTAATTAATCAGCACTTAACGAGGCCCTGGTTTCCCCGTGTGGGAAGAGGCAAGGTGGAAACGGGAAGGACCGCACAGTTCATTTGCCGGAACGCTGATTATCACTCCCATTAATGTGACAATGACTAGGAGCAGTCATAACACCAGCCACCACGCCCCAGTGCCGCTCTGTGCCCTGGGGGCCTGGCCCAGGGCAGGCACGGAGCCGAGCGAGGCCAGCTCCTGTTCTCGTGGACCTTGGGGTCTGATGGGGGAGACAGGTGGACAGACGGTCATTGTAATGGGGGGAGGGAGGCCGGGCTGGGCTTGGAACAAAGTGCTGCAAGGAAGGAAAGCAAAGGAGGCTTCCAGGAGGAGGCGGCGTTTGGTCTGAGACATGGAGGATGAGGAGGATCAACGGACCTCCTTACTTCAGTACCACAGCAACTGCTTTGACGGATCCTCAGTTCCCCCATTTCTTTCCATGTTTCTTACAAAACCTCTTCTTGTTTCTAGGCAACAGTTTTTTTTTTCCTGCTTTTTAAATTAATTTTCTGAGTGTGGGGAAAAAAGATATCTAATCTCATCTGCCCAAGACACTTGAGGAAGTATTTATGAGACAGGATGGCTGCAAGAGGGGAGAGAAACACGGTTTTATGAGACAGTCTTAATTTGGGGGGGGGTCACAGTGAACCCCTCCTCACCCACAGGCCCAGCAGAGACGAGAAGAGGGGTACACACGGAGGGCTGGGGCTAGAACTCACTGCAGCTGAAGGTGCCAAATTTCATCACGTGTCTATTCTCCGTGATGCCCCAGAAAAGCCTGCTCTGAACTTTAGGCCAGTAACAACTAGTCGAGGGGTCCATGGCTGACACTGTCCCCTTCACCCAGAAGTTACTGTAAGGGGTGGCCTGGGCATCCAGATGCTCACGATTACCAGACAAACCCGGCATGTCCCTCTGTGAGTTACTCCCCTCTGGTAACGAGAGCGGTGACCTTTAGCTGAGCATCCACACATGCGAAACACTGTGCTAAGGGCTTGATGAGAACTTCCATTCGCTTCATAAGAACCCATTAGGAAGATGAGAAAACTGGGTCACAGGGGACTCGGCGTGGCCAGGTCACACAGCCAGTAGATTTCAGAGCTGGGGTTTGACATCACTGCCTAATCCAAAGCCCAGACACTTAAATCGCGTGCCACCTTGTTCACACCGCTTACCCTGTCCACACCACTCACCTCTGTTAACATCACGAGGCCCAGAAAATAGGAGACGATCGACAGGGCCAGGATGAGCAGCTCCCGCCGGTAGCCCCTCCGGAAGACCTTGGGGTACATGTCCACCACAGCGGTCACGAGGCTTTCCACACACACAAACTGCACGGGGTAGACGTGACGGTGTGAGGCCCAAGAAAAAGGCAGTTCTCGGCGGCCCTCGCTCTGGGCCAGCACAGCAGGCCTAAACCCCGGGCTTCCCGCCCACACTCACTCACACTGACGGGGGCCCGATAACAACAGTCCCGGCTCTTACAGAGCTCCAGCAGGCCCATTTAACAGATGAAGACACTGAGGCTCAGAGAGGGGAAGCAACCTGCCTAAGATCACTCAGCAAGGAAGTGGCAGAGTCAGCACTTGAGTCAGGGTCTCCTGACTCGAAAGCTAGCACTTCTTCTTTCCCCTGTGCTGCCTGTCATGCATCTATGTGCATGACAGGCCCTGCTCTGGGGCTGAGGATTTAAAGGAGGGCCAGCCCTTGCCCGGGGGCAGGACGGGAGTCTGGGACTGTCCTGAGAGCTCAGTGCTCCGCAGGTGGGGGGCTCTGGTCAGTCTGTGTGGGCTCTGGCAGTGTGTGCGGCCAGCCTCCATTTGCTCCTGCTCCAGGATGGTGACAGCTGCCCCGCCCTTTGCTTCTGGTGGATGAGCGCCCCTCTGCCGGTGCAGGGCAGTCAGGCGAGCCCACCCTGGCTCTTGTGTTTCCACCGAGTCTCCGGGCCCCGGGCAGACTGTGCAGGCTTAGACGGCGGAGCGTGAGCCGCCAAGTGTCTGCACCACGCCACGCTGAGACAGCGCCAGGCACGTGGTATCAGTTCCACTCCTATTTACCCATCAACACCCAGCCCAAATGTCCCAACACACCAGTCCCCCTCCCCGGGTTCTCCTGGCTCTGGAGGCAGATCTCCTACAGGAGTCTGTCCCTGAACAGAACAGGACAGAACAGACCCTCCCTCTCCTCTATGCCCAGGCCGTGCCCCTCACCCCGAGGGGCCTGTGCTTGCTTACATCTATCTCCTTACAAGAAGGTGAGACTCTGCAAGGCAGGGGCCATGTCATTGTCATCTATTTCCAGTGGCACAGAGGAGATGCTCAGAAAATGATAAATGAATAATAATAATAATAATAATGGCAAACACATGGTGTGTGTTGTGTGTCAGGCCCTGTTCTAAGCAGTTAACAGATATCAATGTATTTAATCTGTATGCGGTAAGTAGTACTATTACCCCCATTTTACAAATGAGCACAGGGAAGCATAGCGGGGTAAGCCCCTGCCCGAGGTCACAGAAGGATGACACGGCAGAGCCTGGATTTGAACCAGGCAATCTTGTTCCAGAGGACTGGCTTTAACCACTGTGCTGCACTCTGGGAGGGAGAGAGGAAGGGACGAGCTAAAGGATTCTTTTGCTGGTCACCATGTGGGGGCACCTCCCTTCCCTGAAGCCATTTCTTGGCCCAAATCCTTTCTGATTCACTTCTACCTCCTTAAGAAAGGTATTTCCATCCTCACTGTGCAGACAAAGGGACTGCAGCACAGAGAGGTGAGGTGACTAGCCCAGAGCCACACAGCTGGCAAGAGTCATGAAGGCTGGGACTCAACCTGAGCCCTGCCTCACTCCAAAGCCCAGACTCCTAGCCTCCCCGCTGCCCTGCCTCTGCCGGAGGCTGGCTGTGCTCATCCTTTCTCCAGGGTCCCCAGGGAAGGAAGGAGACAGTTCAGGGGAGGCTGAAGAGACATCAGAGCACGTGGGCTAAGGGGCAGACGGACCTGGGTGCATGTCACTCAGCACCTCTGAGTCTGTTTCTTCCTCTGCAAAATGGGGGCAACAAGAGGGGCCCCCAGTCCCTGTGGTTATCGTGATGGCGACCCGAGGACACAGCCCAGGCACATAGTAAGCGCAGCACACGTGGAAGTGCGTGCGTCGCCCTCTGTGCCCGACCGCTGGGCCCCCGGCCCCCATGCAGACTGAGCATCCCAGCCTGGGTGCCGGCCTGGCTCAGCCCGGGACTCGCAGAGCTGAGGCCCAGCCCCAACCCCCTGCGGAGGCGGCCCTGTCTGGGTCACGCACAAGCTGCAGATCCTCCGGGGCTCCCCCCGCCCCCCAACAATCAGGAGAAGATCATGGGCAGAAACACCCGGCGTCGCAGCGGTTCGACTTAGCGGTTTCTGAGAAACCATCAGGGGAGGACACTGGACCTGGCTGGGCTGACAGACACGTGGGCCGCGGGGCTCGGGTGCTCAGTGACTCGCCCGAGGTCACGGGGGGCGGGGCGGGCAGCACCTCGCCAACAGCCCTCAGTCTGCGCGCAGAGCCGCCGCTTTGGCGGGAGGACGTTCTCTGGGGTCTCAGGGCAACGAGCCGCGACGCAGCAGCAGGGCGAAGGGCAGGTTTCTGGGAGGGAGGAGCGCGCAGGCCGCAGGACTCGGGCTGGAAAACCAGGGAGGGGACTGCAGGAGAGCGGGGAGGGCAGGCTGGCGTGCGTTTTCCAGGGCGAGAAGACGGAAGCGCACGCATTCGAGTGGAGATACAGGAGGATGTGCACAGGTAAAGGGCCAGCTCTAACTCCAGCCCTCGCGGAGGAAGGCAGGCTGCCGAGTGGAGGCCGGGTCCGAGGGAGCCTTCCAGACGAGGACGAGAACAGAGCCAGGCGGCGGAGCGGGGGGGCGGGAGCAGGTGGCGGTACTGAGGAGCCCTGTGGCCGCTGGGGCACCTCACAGGGGCCCCAACACAGAGACGGAGGAAGGAAGAGGGGCTTTTCCATGTCCCCGGGTCCTCCGTGACTTGCACGGGACAGGGACACGCGCTGGCGGGGTCCCCGGACCCCAGGAGCCACAGCCCACTAGCTGGGAATCTTCCGCTTTGCCACGTGGTGCGCTTGGGCCGAAGTAGTTTAGCAAAATGGAAGTATTTAGCAATTTTTTAAAAATTTGGATTGGGAGTTGGGAATTCCAGGTGTTAAAGAGAAAACCACAAGCCCAAAATGGTGTCGCTTGTGCTAAAGCCCATAATGCCAAACTTAGATTTAATACCTAACCTAACTGCAGTTTCACACTCGCCCAGAAAAGTAATCTTAATCAAGCAGTCTGGAATTTTCCAGTCAGCACCAATGAGGTAATCCGTCATGCAGGCCCTTTGCATCCCCCGGAGGAAGAAGGGACAATCTACATGATAAAACCCTTGTGGTCCCTTTCCCCCAAAAAGATGCTCTTGCCTAAAAATAATCCTTTCTTTTGCTAATAGCTCCCTTGCCCACTCTTCTTCCTATGAAGACCTTCCACTCTGTACAACCCCTCGGAGAGCATCTCTCTGCTTGCTAGACAAGATGCTGCCGATTCATGAATCGCCTAATAAAGCCAACTAGATCTTCAAATTTACTCAGCTGAATTTTGTTTTTTAACACAGATGAGGAAAACAGTGTTTGGGAAGATGTGGAGGGACCCGAGCAGACGTGTTTGGGGGTGACTGTGGAGACCTGCAGGTGGACGGGAGGGTGTGCTGGAACGGTGGGGGGCCCTGATGACCAACACCAGGAGGTGGTGGCTAGGCCCTGAGCCGCTCCTAAGAGCAGCGTCTGGTCTCCCCACCCTCCCAGCCCGGGCACCCCCTTACCTGGCTGTCCAGGCCCAGGAAGATGAGCATCATGAAGAACAAGGCAGCCCACAGCGGGGAGAGGGGCATCATGGTGACAGCCTTGGGATAAGCGATAAAGGCCAGGCCGGGGCCTGGAGAGGGAGGAGAGAAAGGTGCTGGGTGGAGTGCAGTCCCTCGTTCAATTATTATTTTAATCCATCTGTGTACTGAGTGCTTCTGTTGTGCCAGGCGCTGTGCCTAATTCTCACTCAAATCACTTACATCTCCCAGCCACCCTATGCAGTTGGTACTATTATGATGTCCATTTTGCAGAGGAGCAAGCTGAGGCATAGAAAGGTGAGCAAGGGTCTGGAAAGGTCGGGATTCAAAGCCTGGGTGGTCTGACACACAGACCTTCCTCTGCACAGACCCATCTCTACTGTTCTCACCGAGGCCAGGTTCTTGTTAAAATGCAGGTTCTCAGGCCCACCCCAGAGCCTTGGATTCGTCAGTCTAGGGTGAGCCAGGGACCAGGTTCCCGATGAGTCCAGCACAGGCAGTTAGGAATCCAGGCTTGGAGAAAAGCTGGGCCACCCAGGACGCCTCTTCTTTTGGGGTCCTCCCCTCATTTCCCAGGGCCACATTCACTTATTTTGGCTGCTCCAAATAGAGGGCTTGGTTAGCACGTCCTCAGGATGACCTCTAGCCCTGTAGCACAGAGGTCAGGGGTCCAGCTCTGCAGCCAGACGGCCTGGGTTCAAGTCCTCCTTCTTGACTGTGATCTATAGCTCAGCTGAAAAAATGAGGATAATGAAGTCCTGCCTAATAAGGTGGTTTTGAGAGTTCAGTGAGATGATGCAGAATATGGAAAGCACTTAAAAAGGTAAATGCTTAACAAACATGAGCTCTGATTATTATTTTTTACCTTAAAAGCAGCCTTATTAAAGTCTAATTTACCTACAATAAGCATTCATTTTAAGTGTACAGTTCAATGAGTTGTGAAAAGTGTGTACCCCCAGACAACCACTGCAGTCACACATGGAACATTTCCATCGTCCCCCTGGGCCCCTCGCAGTGCCTCCACCCCCACTCCCTGTCTTCACCCTGGGCAACCATTGATCAGATTTTTTTTTTTTCACTTTAGAGTAGCTCTTCCCATCTTACCTAGTAGTGAAATTGCTGGGTCCTATGGCAACTGCATGTTTAACTTTCTAAGAAATGCCAAACCGATTTCCTAAGTAGCTCTGATAACTTTACACTCCTACCAGCAATGTTTGAGTTCCAGTGGCTCCACATCCTTGCCAACACTTGATATTGTCAGCCTTTTAAATGTAGTCATTATAGTGGGTGTGAGGTGTTATATATCATTGTGGTTTTAATTTGTATTTCCCTGATGACTAACGATGTCTTCACATATCTTTATTGTCCATTCATATATATTCTTTTATGAAGTGCCCGTTGAGTGTTTGCCTTTTTTAGAGGCTGTCTCCTTTTTACTGAGTTGTGAGAATTCTTTATATATTTGAGATATAAATCCTTTACCAGAGCAGTGTTACAAATATTTTCTCCTCATCTGTGGCTCGCCTTTTCATTGTCTTAATGGCGTCTTGTGAAGAGCAGTAGTTTAAAACTTTCCAGTTGTTTGTTGCCAGCATCTTAAAAATACAATTGATTTTGGTTTATTGTCCTTTTATCCTGTGACCTTACTAAGTTCACTTGTTAATTTTTTCTGTAGGTTTCTTAGGGTTTTTTGTGTGGTTAAGCATGTTGTTTATGAATAACAACAGTTTTTATTCTTCCTTTCCAATCTTAATGTTTTTATTTTTCTCGCCTTCTTGCACTCTTTAGGAACTCCAGTACTGTATGGAACAGAGGCAGAGGCAGCACACTTCCCTGCTTTGTTTCTGATTTTAGGGGAAAGCATTCAACATTTAACAGTCAGGAAATGAGCACTGGTACATACTATTAGTTAAACCACAGAGCTTATTCACGTTCTACCAGTTTTTCTCCTTATGTCCTTTTTTCTGTTCCAGTATCCAGTCCAGGATTCCACATGCACTTCACGTCTCTTTAGTCTCCTCCAATCTGTGACAGCTCCTCGGTCTTTTCCTGTCTTTCACGAGCTTGACATTTTTGATGAGTACTGGCAACTATTTTGCAGAATGGTTCTCAGTGTGGGTTTGTCTGATGCTTTCTCATGATTAAACTTAGGTTATACATTTTTTGGCAAGAAAACCATAGAAGTAATGCTGTGTCCTTCTCAACATACCATATTAGGGGGTATATGATGTCAATCAACCCTATTACTAGCGATGTTTACCTTGATCAGTTGGTTAGGCTGGTGCCTGCCAGGTTTCTCCACTGTCAAGTTACTCTTTTTCTCTTTGTAATTGATAAATATTTGGGGAGGAAATTTGAGATTATGAAAATATCCTGTTTCTAGTCAAACTTTTACCCATTGATTTTAGCATCCATTGGTGGATCTTGCCTGCAACAATTATTACTCTAGTGTTTGCCTAATGGTGGTTGGTATTTTCTTCATTCCTTCTACATTTACTAGTCAGCATTCTTCTGTAAGGAAGAGTTGTCCCTTCACACCTATTTCTTTCTTTCTTCAATTTTCATTTATTTCAGTATGGACTCCTGGGTATTTAGTTTATTCTCTGGGTCACAATCCAATACTACCATTATTTATTTTGCTGTTCAAATTCTTCCAGGCTTGGCCACTGGGAGCTTCTCTAGGTTGAGTCCTGTGTCCTGACACGCCTCCATCCTTTTTCTGAGCACGTCCTTATCTTCGGCACCACAACATGCTGCAGCTTCATTCATCCTCGACCTGAGTGAACTGCTTCTCCAAAGGGCTCTGGCTCCTTTCGCTGGAGAATGGGGTTTAGACACCAAGATCTGGCCACTGGGGATGCTCACTGCCGCTGGAGTCTCATCGCCCAGAGGCCTTCTAGCACACACAGCTAGGAAATGCGTGTATGTATGTTTACCTACATACACACGCACAGATATTTCTACATCTATCTGTATACGTATTAAAACCAGGAGTTCATGCTGATATCTCCAATTCCCGTACAGTCCTTCTAGCTTCTCCACTTTCCTTATTGCTCAGTGAAAAACCTGGCACTAATTATCTATATTTACTTGTTTGTTCAATCCTACATACACCAGTTACAGAATTGCTAACCCATACCCCTGTGCTACCAGGAGTATGTGCAGAGATTTTTATCTAGCCTTACAGTATCCAGTCAAAATACTGCTTCCGGAAATTTACTCAGCTTAGTTCTTTTCTTCCCCCGTTCTCTTCAGTGTGGAATACTGTAGTATTCCCCTGTAATACAGCTAAGTTCATTTATTTGTACTCCATTTTGGGTTCTATCCACAAAAAGTAACTGTTTGTTTATCTTGGGTGGTATGTGCAACATTACGTGGTTCTAGGAGTCAGAGCTAAGGAACAAAGATATACTCAGCAAAGTGTTGCTTCCCTCTCATCTTACTACCGCATTCTCATTCCTCTGTACTTTCTACCTCTTCCACTCAACTCTGTCAGTAACCATTCTCTTTATTTTCTAGTTTAACCTTTCTGTATTTCTTTTGCACAAATGAGCAGACATACTTTCTTTTTTCTTTTTTTTGTGAGGAAGATCAGCCCTGTGCTAACATCTGCCAATCCTCCTCTTTTTTTTTGCTGAGGAAGACTGGCCCTGGGCTAACATCCATGCCCATCTTTCTCCACTTTATACGGGACGCCGCCACAGCATGGCTTGCCAAGTGGTGCGTCAGTGCGCGCCCGGGATCTGAACCGGCGAACCCTGGGCTGCCACAGCAGAGCACATGCACTTAACCACTTAAGCCACTGGGCCAGCCCCTGGACATACTTTCTTATATCTTTTTTTCTTACATGATGCATAGAATACTATAGATACTTGCTTTTTTAACTTCTATACGCACAAACATTTATCATTTAAAAAAATACCCCCAATTTCTATTTACTTGATTATTTTTTATTGTGAATGGGAGTTAAATTTTGCCAAAGACATTTTCAGCATCTATGGAGATAATTTTATGATTTACTTTGTTGGAGCTATTAAAATGGTATAGGATACCAATGGATTTCCTAGAATTTAACCAACCTTGCATTATTCCTGGAATAAATCCTACTTGGTCATAGGATAGTACCTTCTTAATGTGATTTTGGATGCTAATATTTTGGATTTTGATTTGCTGATATTTTATTAGTATTTTCACATCAATATGCATGAGTGGTATTGATTTGTAGTTTTCTTTCTTTGCATTGTCTTTATTTGGTTTAGGTCTCAATGTTATACATGTTTATATAAGGAGTTAACAAGTTTCTCTTCTCTTTCAGTGCTCTAGAATAACATACAGAACACTGGGACTGTTTGGTCCTCGAAGGTTTGGTAGAATTCCTCCGTGAAACCATCTGGGCCAGGTGTTTTTTTGTGGGGTAGTTCCTCAATAACTTTGTCTATTTCTTCTATGGAAATTGGCCTGTTTATGCTTTCTAAATCAAATTAGATTTTTGGCCATCTGTAGTTTCCTAGAAAACATTCATTTCATCTAGGTTTTCAAATTTTTGTGCATAGACAATTGCAAAGTAATCCCTTATGATTTTTAAAGATTTGTTCTGCTTCAATGTTTATTTCCTCTTTGTCATTTCCTGTTTTGCTATTTATGTGTTCTTCCTTTTTTTCTTGATCATCTGGTGATTTGTCTCTTTTAACTTTTAAAAACTCAGGATTTTAAGTTATTAATTAGATCTACTGTTTCTCTAGTCTCTACTCTAATTTTTGCTTTTATCTTTATTATTTCCTTCCTTGTGCTTTCTTTTGGCTCACTTTGTTGTTTTTCTTGTTTCTTGGTTCTTTTTTAGTTGTGGATATAATTAATTTATTTTCACTCTTTTATTGATAAATATGTTTAATATAGTTTTTTCTTATTGTTAGTTTATTTCTATCTATGTCTGCTTGTATCTCCTGCAGTTTTTGTTTCATAAAGATAATTGCTGTGTTATTTAGCGCATACATTTTCATTCGTATTATAGCTTCATTGTGAATTGTGGTTTTTAACATTAAAAAGTGTGCTTTGTCATGCTTAATCCTTTTGGGCTTAAATTCTACTTTGT